GCGCAGTAGGTCTGGCTCTAACAATGATGCATTTTGAAATTGCCTGCAAAACGTGAAATATGTCTGCTGTAATAAAACCGGAGTTTTTAGGCAAGTCTAAGGATTTTAATATATTTACAGAGAAGAGATGCCTTCTATTTCTTCAACTGTATTTTCATAAAGTTGAGATATTTCACTATTAGGAAAAATGGAAGAAATAAATCTGAAATACTTGTTCCCCACCCATTTTTCCTTCAGCCGTTCTCATCCATAAGATATAACGGATGCTAATATGGCTCAGGCATCTTAAAAATCATAAGTTTTGCACGATAGCTATTGTCTGTTGCTGAGAGTCCTCATGAGTCAAAAATCCTTCCTTCAGACTTAGACTCTGTTTACATTTTGCTTTTTTTTCCAGTCCTTTAGCTCTGGATGCAAATGGTTTTTCTGTTGACTTCTCTATCATTCTCTGACGTCTGCAGATATTTGATCAGCTCTCTGTTCCGTGCATAGCACGGCCCTTCTCTGGCAGCTACGTGCATGGGAAAAAAAATGTTATCAATAAGTTCAGAGGAGCCTCAGCAGACTCGGAGAAATTTCACACAAACATAAAACAAAACCTAACCCCTGTGACAGGGAAAGTTTGCTTTGCGCCAGATTTTAGCAGCTTTCTTGTGCCTTTGGTGAGATGTCAGAAGCGCAGGTGATTTTAATTTTCTTGTACAGAGAGGAGTGGAGAAGTTTGGAATTTGCATGCATGATCAGGACCTGTGTTTGGGAAAATGTAAACTCATCACAGTGGAAAATGTGTTGTTTGGAGTCTGAGGGTGAAAACAAAGCTGAGGATTTTGGAGACACTGCCTGAGCCAGATGGCCTGGTGCATTCCCAGTCTGGCAGCCCAACTGCTCCCTCCTGTATAATATACAGCCATTTGTTCTGGGATATTTACGCTAGAGCTGTTTCCATGTGAATGTTTGAAAACCATTAAAAATGAACATATTAGGAGAGATAAATTTATTTAATTTGTGTGAATACGCCGATAAGCAGACTGTGTATCAAAGGCGGAGGGAGACTGGATAAAATAATGAGATGCTACTGAATTGTACACTGAGAGACGCAGCAAGAACTAACTGTCCTTGCCCTGGGACCCAGCGCTGTGCTGCTTGTCCGGGATAAACCTCACTGGGATGAGCTGAAATTTTGCCTGGGGAAGGGGTAAAAACGCGGGGAATGAGGGGTTAAGTGTTTGAAGCCAAATAAATGCAATTCACAGTATTTTCAGTGTAGATACATAGCGGATACAAGCCCAGTCCTCTCCGGGTGAAATTCTGGCCCATCTGAAGTCAATTGCAAAGCTCCTATTGAATTCGGTGGGGCCAGGATTTTATTTTCTCTCTGTGTGCACGGCTGTACACGTCACTCCAAATCATTTTAGTTCTGTTTTTGAAAAGACCCTCATTTTAATGAGTTTTTGTTTCTCCTTTATTTCAATGAGGGAGATATAGTCTGTTTTGTGAAACGGGTGAGGGGTTTCGGTGGGTTCAGATACATGTTGGTGACTTCTTTCCTTCTCTTACTCTTTTAAAATCAAGGCCAGGACATAACTGAATAATATAATGACCATGATCTCATTCCTTCAAGATTGTTTTTCGTCCGGTTCAGAAAGCAGGATTGCTTGACTGGCAAACTGACACCATGAGACGATTCTGCCCTCAGTTGTACCAGCACGAATCTGGATTTATGCAGGAATAGTTAAGAAAAAAATCTGGCTCTATATTTTTCCAACTTATCTATCAATCCCTTTACTGCTTTATCCTGCCATCCTTACTGGGGAACAAGTGGATTAAATGAGAACTGTAGTCCTGACTTTTATATCAGCCCCCTGCCCTTTTATTTTTTTTATTTATTTTTTTTTTTTTAATGAACTCTGTCACTGAAAAGTTTAGGCAAATTGTTGGACGCACTTGTCATCTAGAAATGACTGCAATGGCTCAGTTTAGTAGTTTTTACTTGCTGGCAAGCAGTGAATTGCATTTCACTTCATTTCTAATGTAGCTTTATTTAAATGGAAGTGAGGAAGTCTTATATTTTGACACTAATCTTTTGGGGTCTGATTTTGAAATCCGTTTGGGCATGAGTGATCGTTACCCACTGGGACTTCTTGTAGAAAGGTTACTTGGGTGAGTAATGGCTTACAAAATGGAAGATGAATTTTGTGGGGAAATATTTAAGTTGCTCAGGAGAAGCAAAGCTGTTTTGAAACGCTTATGAAATAACACCAAATTAAAACTACATGAAGTAAACAAAAAGAAAAAAAAAACCCCAAAGACTATAATTTTGCATTTCCTTTGCTGGTGTTTTGTTGTGCAACCCTGATGTGTATTTGCAGGCTTATTTTCAGCTCTGCTGTGGTCTAAGTTTATCCACTGTAACTTTCACTTGATCTCTCATTAATGCGATCCCCATGTGACAAAATCACGACGGTGTTAGTGCGACGAGGAACCCGGCCGCAACCACCCTGTTGTAAAGCCTGAACTTTCCAAGATAATAATTAAAAAAAAAAATCAAGACAGTTTTGTTAAAAGAGTAGCTTTTCAAACCTTCAAGTGACAAATTTTCACAACAGAAACATCGTAGACCCTTCCTGTAAAAATACTTCTGGCAGCTGTAACGATCTGAAACTTTAGCAGTTCCTGTTTCCTTTTTGCAACCGATTGTAGAATTAATGCTTCAGAGCAGCGCAGCCTGCAAGGCGGTGGAGTATCTGTAATGCTCTCGGGCAGCCATTCATGGAAGTAAACAACTGGCGCTTAGCACACCCGTTCGCACAAGTACATTGGAACGTAGGAATAGGAGCTGGGGATGAGTTGCTCGGAAATGAACTCAGCAGTTCCTCCTGCTTCCTAGAATTTCCTAGAAGTTCCTTCAGGAATAGGGTATTGAGAGCGTATCTGCCCTCAACAGGGAGAAAACAAAATGTACAGAGGTACAACATTGGTAACTGAATGCGAGCAAAGTGAAAAGCCAGTCCTTAACGTAGAGGAAGGCGGAAGAATGTCATGCGCGCAAAGAAGGGATCACTGATGCTAAACACAACAGACAAGGTGATTATGTACCGCAGTGTTGACTCTGCCCGTTCATTATTGCTATTTAGTTGAGTTATTTAAGCGGGTACCTGGAGGTTAAGTAAGCATAGCAGCAGGAAGAGAAGAGGAAGAGAGAGGGGAGGGGGAAGAAAGAAAGTAAATTGTGTGTTCTGGTTTGCCATTTCTAGGGCTTCCTAGACTTCACTGGCAACAAGATAATCCATACTGGGTAAATTTATTTTAAGATTTGAAAGTCTAAGAAGAATGAGCCAAGTCCAGCAGTCCTCTCTCAGTGTTATTCCCCTGCATTACGCTGTGACGTATGGAGGTGAAGGGGGCTGGAGGTGTTTTTCTCCACTAAAGGCCTCGGGACTAGATCTGCTCTTTACCCCCATGCTCTGCACACTCAGAGGCAAATTATTCTTTAGTTACTGATTAAGTCCAAAAAGTGCCTTGAGCTTCCCCTTACCTGGCCTGTCCCATTGTCAGGCAGAAGCTGATTTGGGGTTTTCTGGAGTCTTTGCAATGTCCCTGCTGACCGACCGCATCAGGCGTTGGCCGGTTACTTTGATTCCCTGGTTTTGGCTGGAAGCAGCTTCTCCCCATCTTCCCCTGTGATGCACAGAAATGAGGATCTTCTGTATTTGTCCCACCACCTGACATAACACATGGATGACTGTAGTGCCATCTTCCAAGGCTTCTTGCAAACCATCCGTAGCTCTCTCGGGCACTGATGTGGAAGGACCTCGAGGTGTGGGCCAGCAACCGAGCAGGGACGTGGGGTCCCAGCTGGGGTTGGGGGGGAGGGTGTTGCTGGTGTCTGGGGGTTTGCGTGGACTCTGCATGTGTCTTGCGACCACCTTCGTGTTCTTTTTATATGAGTGCAGGGTTCACGCAGTTTGTGCCTCACTGGTGGGAATGAGCAGGCAGAAGTCAGGTGAAACTCCGTACCCGTTCATTGCAACGGCACTGGCAGCCTCTCTTTTATCTCATCGGCAAAAAAACCCCACTGGCTCTCAGATTTTAGGGGAAAACACATAGCAAAACTGAAACAAAAAAAGCAAAACCAACAAAGATAACACAGTCCCATCCCTGACATTATTCATGGAATCATGAAATAATTTTATAATGCATAATATTAATACTGCATGTTACTATTAAAATGGTGTTAAAAATCAGCTCGTGCTTCTTCAGATTTGTGTGTCCTGAGATCCGTGCCCCCTCTGCGGGTACAGCACCTCTTATCCTTGGTGGGTTATATTTGTCAGGGATGGGAAAGCAGTTCATATGACATTACTTCGTCATATATTAAGATAACTTATTTTTTCTCAGTATTTTCCACACTTCCGTTTCAAAGTGGTCTAATTCCATAAGACGTATGTCATCCATACAGCATAATTTTGGTTTTTTTTCAATATCTATTTTATTGCTAACTTCAGGGATACCTGTATCAGACGTCATTTTATTTGCAGAGTTTTTTCCCCAACTTCTGCTTTCTAGTTCTGTATTTTAGGGGCTGAAAAGGTCACAGCACAGGTCAAGGGCAGAGCTGATGCCCAGATGTAGGCGTTGTCTTCCCTCCGAGGCTGGGGCTTTAACCACCGATCCCAGCTCTGGAGTGACACCTGAAAAGATTTAGGAACCTCAGTGCTATTGAAAGATGCTGTTGCAAAGGCAACTTCTTTTCATTCTTGTTTTGCTGCTGGGGGGCTGGTGCCTGGGACGAGGGCTGGCCAGAAAACATAACCCTGTCCTGATCGGCTGGAAACCCTGTCCTGAGCGGGCTGAGAGTGCTAACCTAGTTAGCGGGTAACGCAGATCCTTTGCCACTGGTTCTGCTGGGGGGGGAATTGAAAACGTAGCCTCTTCTTGAAATGCGAATACGCTGCCTTTCCGCAGTTTTAACTTAAAGGATTCTCCCCGTGCTATTTCAGAGTCAAATTTGTGAAGCTGGTTGATCCTCTGTTTTGGTATCCTCTGCTCTGGCAGGGCCTGCCTCTCACTTATTTATATCCCTGTAACTCCAGAGTCGCTCTCTGGAAAGCGGTGGATCACGAGGTTCAAGGGGAGAATCAGGCCTGAGCGCTTTCTCAGGAGCTACCAGGAAAATGCCTGGGCTGAGCAGCTTTTGTAATTAAAAATACATGAGCTTTCTCTTTTCTGTCTTTTTTTTTTTTAATGAATAGGACCCAAAGTATGCCAAGGCTTGCTGGTTTTTTTTCTTTTTTTTTTTTTTTTTTTTTTTTTTTAATGCTGTTAGGTTTATATTTTATTCTGAATTGAGAAGAAAATCGTGGTTGTCTTGACTACTAAAAAACCCCATCCTACACATCGCTTGAGAGATGTGCAACGGAGAGGAGGGAATTTAGCTGCACTCCGCGCGTGTTGTTTTCCGACTGCAAGTCTTGGAGCAGGTTCGGTGGAGACGGGGTCTCTTTAGCATGCGACTTGGCTTGCAACTCCAGCTGCACGTTCGGTCACCGCGATGCGTTTTTATTTTCTCCAAACTCAACTCTATGCACAGCTAAAACAGTGTTTTGTTTCTAGGCGATAGTGTATGAAGGCCAAGACAAGAACCCAGAAATGTGCCGAGTTCTGCTCACGCATGAAATAATGTGCAGGTAAGAAATACCCTGCTTCCAATTAATTAGTGATGAGAAGATGAATCTGTCTCTCAAAATCTAGGTTGAACTTGCAGCTATTTTCGGACTTAAATTTATCTTTCTTGCATTAAACAATCCCAAAATAACACAGTTCGGTGTGCGTAATTAGCAGCAAGGTCTCAGTCGTCACACTAGTTTTCAATTATTTATAAAGAGTTATTCTTAACAGAACGCTACTGGTTTCCACTTGGACGCCGTAGCTCACAAAAAGTCTCCTCACCAAAATTAACAGTCAATTATAGTCTTCTGGCAATAAATGTCTCTGGCCCCAATTCCCAACAAAACCTCCTCTGTAAAATGACAAAATAGTAATTTTGGGTTTTTTTTTCTGGGTGCGCATTAGAACTTGAGGTCAGGACGCCTGTTTCGTCCCAGTTGCTGCTCATGCAAGGCCCGTGCTCGGCCAGAGCGGAGCAGATACTCCTCCATGCAAGAGATACCTTCTTGTTGATTTTCTTTAAACTCCCCCGTGCAGATTTGGCTCTGCCCTGTGCTCTCGTCCCCTGAACATCACTGCCTGAGGTTGGTCACTTAAACTGGGGAGAGGCAACTATCTTCTCTCCCAGACAGGGTACTGCTGCAGCTGCTTCCTTCTCTTTTCTGGCCGATTGAAATAGGTGAAGCCTCCTCCACTTCCTTTTTACTGCAGAGAAGGCAGCGTCTTCTTGCAGACCCCTCCAACACCTTGGAGAGCTTGACCTTGCAGTCTCATTAAAGTTAGTGGGTGTTTTCTGCATGTCTGAAAACATCATTTGTTACACGTTATTCGATGGCAGAAAATAATTCCCTGGTGGAAGACGAGGCATTCTTGCATAAGCTCATTGTTACAATCAGTTGTTTTAAGACTGTAAAAATGCCATTGCATGCATTGTAACTTTTACAAAACACATTTACTAAAAAGGAGTAACTTGAGGGTAAAAACTAGTACCCACTTCTAAGAGAACAAACTTGGATGAGGGTTTCCTGGTGGGGGAGAGTCTTAGACAACATATTCAGATGGAAACTTCTCTCTTGGTTGATTTTTAAAATTTTTTTTTTCCATTCTTGGCGATCTGCATGTTTTGTCCTCCATGACAGCTCCTGCCTGATAAATCCCTGCTTGAGGGCAGCGCCCTGCGATGTCAGCAGAGAAGGAGCTGCTCCCCTCGCTTTGCCAGCCTGGGCGAAACCCCATGCAGCCCCTCAAATCCTTCCTTGCAGAATTTGGGGGATATTATTTCTCATGTCGTATTTTTCTAGGCTGCTTCATTCAGGAGGTTTGGCTTCTTCCAGAAAACCAAAGATAACCCATCACAGCCCGAGAACAATCAGAGCAGACAGGTATCACCAAGAGGTGCCTAAGTTTCCGCGGCCATTGGGAGCTGCGGCATTGCCTTGCTGAGGGCTCCCGGCCACTTCTCCCTTTCCAAATGGAAACCCAGTCGTGCTGACAATCTGTAATTGCCCTAAAATTCATTGACCCAATTAGCACCACTTTCACACTAGATACCTAACTAGGAACAATTCATGGAAATATTAAAGGAGGCCCCTGACCTGATAAGGCTGAAGTGCGTGCTTTGCTTTTCTCCTGTAAGTAGACCAGTAAAACAGTGGGACTGTTCACGTGAGTGAAATTAAGCACATGTTCGAGTGCCTGCAGCGTCAGGGTCCGAATCTGCTGTTAGTCCTGGGTGATGTGCCCTCCTGAGTCTTAAACAGCAAAGTTTTAGAGTAGGAATTACGTCTGCCTGCTACTCACTGAGCTATCCGTGCAAGAGCAAGAATCGCTTACTTTAATGCATTAATTTTCTTACAAATACTTTAGAAACGTAAAGAATAAGAAGTAAATGGAAACTTTATATAGAGGGCTGAGTTTTAACCAGAAGACCAAATACCTGCATCACAGATTTATGACCATTCAATGTACTTTAATTGAGACAAAATTATTTCCGTTCTGAGAACATAGAAAGATGTGCGGCCTTTCCCTTTATTAAAGCGCTTTACACTTTCTTTGTTCTTAAAATTCACTGGATCGGGAGCTTTATTATCCTCCTTGTATTTGTTTACTGCTAGTCCTTGCTTTGTGTTTGATAACCATAAGGTGGAGGGGTAGCAAAAAAAAAAATAATCTGACAATAGTAGGCCAACGCTGTGTGCCTGACGGGGTGGAGGAGACATATTCAAATTTCTTACAGCTCATATTAGATATTACCCGTTTCCTTTTCTGCCTATACATGTGTAAGAGGGTGCTGTTTGTTTACCAGGCCGCTTGACCCTATTGCACAAATCTGTCATCTATTGTGCCGCTAACACTCTTTTAAATTGCAAATCTGATGCTCTTTAGGGGTCTAGAAGGGAGAAAAAAATATCTCTCTCCACACCATTCTGTTTCTCTTGATTTCTTGCCTGTTGTAAGTGGAAGTTGGGATGTGCTGAATTTGCACCAGGGGTGCAAATGCAGCCTCAATTATAAGCATAAAATTAGAGTCTGTTCCCCATTAATCAGCCCAGCTAATTGCTATGCACTACCATTAGCCATATGGTGTGAAAGACAGCTTGCTCTCCCTCAGATGAAATTTCTTCATTTCAGACATGAAATAGTGAGGGCTCTGTATTTTAAAATAGCTTGTTTTAGAAATCTAATTTCTAAACAACTTTCAGCAGTGCTTTCTATCAAGGCTAACTGCACAATAAAACTTTGCATTTATGTGACAAAGCTGGGTATTTATAGTACACTACAACTACGGTGCGGATGAGACAAAGAATTCAAATGTATAGGAGACTTCTGGCTGTGGTGGGAGAGCGGGGCTGAGCTTTGCTTCAGGTGGCTGTTTATTTCAAAGGATTTCATTGTATTGTGTCAAATATAAAAATCTACACTGCTGGCGAAAATGTTAATAGCTGGGGAGAATTCACAGCCTCAGTGGAATTTATTAGTATTGTAGGCAGCATGGGGAGGGACATCTATAGTTAATATTGCCTCAACAATTTCCATTATGAAACCTTCAGTGACTTACAGCTTTGCCAAACTTAAACTGTTCTGGCTGAAATGTCCTTTGCAGGGTGTCAGCCTCAGGCTGACTTTCTTTGGAAAGTTTCAACTAAAATGGTTCAGTGATTTCTGAGAATGAGGTTGGAGTCAAATATGGTTTTTGTCTGTGTGAAATAAAATCTTACAGCTGTTTTGGTGAGAAGCTCCCACACCTCCACCCTTCGAGGTGAGGAGCCTGTTTGGGGCAGGGGTTGCCCCGACCGCATCACCTGCAGGATGAGACCCACCTCGCTGGGAGCTTCTGCAAAATCTCCCACACCGACTCGCTCAGGACTTGTTAGAGCCTGGCAGCTAAATGATCGGAAAAGTCGCATTTGCGCTGGCCACGTGCCACCGCCCCGTAATTTCTCATTGTTCATTGTCCCCGCAGAAAGCCCCAGCGCGCAGATACACAAAGCAGGGCTCCTCTCGCGAGCGATGCTCCTGGCTGCTGCGCCACGGTGGGGACGTGGGATTTGGGGTGCCAGACTTTGGGGTGAGGAGGCCATCTCCTGCATGCCCGCGGTGGGGTCGGGCAGCGCCGGGTAGAGATGCTCCGTCGCAGGGAAGGGAAGAGGAGGAGGAGGAAGATATGGAGCAAGATGGCAGGAGGGCAGCAGGCCCCCAGAGGGTTGGGGTGAGGACAAAGGCAGCAACAAAAGCTGGGAGTGGTGGTGGTGGTGGTGGCCAGGAGAAGCAGAGGCCTGCGAAGGGGCAGGATGGGGATGGTGTGGGGCTTGGGCACGAGCCGTGGGGATGGCCGTAGGGGGGGGGGAAACCTGGGGCAGGCAGGGATGGGGGGCAGGGGCTGGGGGGGGTTGTAATGGCAAGAGATTTCATTACTATCAAGGACTACTTGTTTTAAAAACAAACCACCCCCCCAAATGGAGCAATTTTTGCAGGCTTTTTCTGTGGGCCAGCATGATGTTGTGCCTGAGCCATGGCTCCTTGCCCTGCTTGGGAATGGGTGTCACGGAGGGACAGCGAGGACAAGTCCTTGCCCTCCCGGCTGCAAGGAGCCGTCACTCGGTGCCTCTCACTGCGCTTTCAGAGAGCCTCGCTGGGAGCTGGAAGGTTTCTGGATGACTTGGAGAAGCTCCTGGGAATTTTAAAATTCCTTCAGGGAAGAAGAAAGGGCGCTGAACATTCAGGAACTTTTTTCCAAATGTTAAGTAGGCACTAAAAGCCAAAGCTTTCCAGGCAAGCTGAATTAAAAGCACTTCTCATTCCATGCAACCAGGTCTCAAACTCAAGGTTTGTGTGAAGTTGTAATTCTCTGCATAGAAAGACGAGGCCTTGGATTCTGCTGTTGGGGGAAAAAATGCGAAAGGCAAGCTGAGGCTTAAAAAATAACTATCCAGAACATGAAAGAGTATTTGGGGCCCCCTTTCATGCCGCAGAGCCACCAGACAGCGGGGTGTGCCAGCCACGCACCTCTTCCCCATCATGCCCAAACTGCGGTGCAAGCAGTGAGGTCTCTTGGTATTACTGGGGATTATCGGGGTGCACTTCTGGGAAGCCCTATGGAACGAGGGGGCCAGCCGATGAGCAATGCTCTCGAAGCCGGGTTGGCCCTGTCAGCCAGTGCCTGGCTCCAATGCTCTCGAGGCCGGGTTGGCCCGTTCAGCCAGTGCCTGGCTCCATCCCGCTCACGGCAGGAGGCGAGACCAAGGCGTCCCCGTCTCCGGGCGCCCACTGCCGCCTCTCCCGCTGGGTTAGCACCCCGGGAAGGTGTTGGCCTCCGAGCCTGGTGGTGCGTGGATGGTGGTATCTGCCCATCTCGGGCTGGGAGCCTGGGAACCTTTGCTTGCCTGAGTAAGTGTGGCAATTTCTGTCCCTCCAGTCTGCTGTGAGAATGTCAGGACCAGCCCTGATTCACTTTAGTCACAAGAACTGCATTGTCTTAACTTGTGCCAACTCTGTTTCTAATTACATTTTAATCATTTAAAAATGATTAGCAGTTTTTATTGCCTTGTTTGTGGGTAAATTTTCTCACCCCACACATTCTAGCTGCACTCAAATGACAAGTCCTTTTATAGGCAAAAAAGCCCCCCGAATGTCCACACGACTATTTACCTACAGCCTGTTTTATTCCTTCCTAAATTTTAATACTTTCTGGGTGCCAAGGCTCCTGCATTTTCTGGTAGATCAATTGTGGTATTGTGCTGCAAAATTAAGCAGTTTTTTTTGGCAATCCCGAACAATGTAACTTCCACCGAAATGAAGATACCGCACATGTGTTAACTGTGAAAAGTTTCAGCCCTGAATAGTTGCCTTGAAGCTTTTTGCGGTGAAAAGAATTATGTATTTTCCTCTCTTTGAAAACAAATTTTTTTTTCTTTGAAACCATTTTTAAACAGCCTGTTTTTGTAAAAGCCGCCCCC